AAAGGAGAGCAGATGATAGAGTGGGAGAGGCACTGTCAAGAAATTTTAATGAAAATAAGAAAAAATTTTGGAGTGAGTTAAACAAGTTAAGAAAGCCTAGGGAAAATATGGATTTGTCAGATAAAAACAGAGTAGGGGAGTTAGTAGATGGGGAGATGGAGGTATTGGGTAGATGGCGAGAATATTTTGAGGAACTTTTAAATGTTAAGGAAGAAACAGAAGCAGTAATTTCATGCACTGGTCAGGGAGGTATACCATCTTTTAGGAGTGAAGAAGAGCAGAATGTAAGTGTGGGGAGGTACGTGAGGCATTACGTAAAATGAAAGGGGGTAAAGCAGCTGGAAATGATGGGATCATGACAGAAATGTTAAAAGCAGGGGGGGATATAGTGTTGGAGTGGTTGGTACTTTTGTTTAATAAATGTATGAAAGAGGGGAAGGTACCTAGGGATTGGCGGAGAGCATGTATAGTCCCTTTATATAAAGGGAAAGGGGACAAAAGAGACTGTAAAAATTATAGAGGAATAAGCTTACTGAGTATACCAGGAAAAGTGTACGGTAGGGTTATAATTGAAAGAATTAGAGGTAAGACAGAATGTAGGATTGCGGATGAGCAAGGAGGTTTCAGAGTGGGTAGGGTATGTGTAGATCAAGTGTTTACATTGAAGCATATATGTGAACAGTATTTAGATAAAGGTAGGGAAGTTTTTATTGCATTTATGGATTTAGAAAAGGCATATGATAGAGTGGATAGAGGAGCAATGTGGCAGATGTTGCAAGTATATGGAATAGGTGGTAAGTTATTAAATGCTGTAAAGAGTTTTTATGAGGATAGTGAGGCTCAGGTTAGGGTGTGTAGAAGAGAGGGAGACTACTTCCCGGTAAAAGTAGGTCTTAGACAGGGATGTGTAATGTCACCATGGTTGTTTAATATATTTATAGATGGGGTTGTAAAGGAAGTAAATGCTAGGGTGTTCGGGAGAGGGGTGGGATTAAATTTTGGGGAATCAAATTCAAAATGGAATTGACACAGTTACTTTTTGCTGATGATACTGTGCTTATGGGAGATTCTAAAGAAAAATTGCAAAGGTTAGTGGATGAGTTTGGGAATGTGTGTAAAGGTAGAAAGTTGAAAGTGAACATAGAAAAGAGTAAGGTGATGAGGGTGTCAAATGATTTAGATAAAGAAAAATTGGATATCAAATTGGGGAGGAGGAGTATGGAAGAAGTGAATGTTTTCAGATACTTGGGAGTTGACGTGTCGGCGGATGGATTTATGAAGGATGAGGTTAATCATAGAATTGATGAGGGAAAAAAGGTGAGTGGTGCGTTGAGGTATATGTGGAGTCAAAAAACGTTATCTATGGAGGCAAAACAGGGAATGTATGAAAGTATAGTAGTACCAACACTCTTATATGGGTGTGAAGCTTGGGTGGTAAATGCAGCAGCGAGGAGACGGTTGGAGGCAGTGGAGATGTCCTGTTTAAGGGCAATGTGTGGTGTAAATATTATGCAGAAAATTCGGAGTGTGGAAATTAGGAGAAGGTGTGGAGTTAATAAAAGTATTAGTCAGAGGGCAGAAGAGGGTTGTTGAGGTGGTTTGGTCATTTAGAGAGAATGGATCAAAAGTAGAATGACATGGAAAGCATATAAATCTATAGGGGAAGGAAGGCGGGGTAGGGGTCGTCCTCGAAAGGGTTGGAGAGAGGGGGTAAAGGAGGTTTTGTGGGCAAGGAGCTTGGACTTCCAGCAAGCGTGCGTGAGCGTGTTAGATAGGAGTGAATGGAGACGAATGGTACTTGGGACCTGACGATCTGTTGGAGTGTGAGCAGGGTAAATATTTAGTGAAGCGATTCAGGGAAACCGGTTATTTTCATATAGTCGGACTTGAGTCCTGGAAATGGGAAGTACAATGCCTGCACTTTAAAGGAGGGGTTGGGATATTGGCAGTTTGGAGGGATATGTTGTGTATCTTTATATGTGTATGCTTCTAGACTTTTGTATTCTGAGCACCTCTGCAAAAACAGTGATAATGTGCGAGTGTGGTGAAAGTGTTGAATGATGATGAAAGTATTTTCTTTTTGGGGATTTTCTTTCTTTTTTTGGGTCACCCTGCCTCGGTGGGAGACAGCCGACTTGTTGAAAAAAAAAAAAAAAATGAGATGTGGTAGCAGACGACTTGCACAAGTGACGCCATATTAGAAATAATAATAATCATCATCACCGAGTCTCATTAAATGTGGTACATTACGTTAATATACACATTTTCATTAATCCATCCATGATATTTTTTTCAAAATTATATAATAAACATGATACATAACATATAAAGATGATAAATACACCCCACAATAGAATAAATAAACATAAATATGAGATGTGGTAGCCAGATAACTTGTACAAGTGATGCCAAGAATAACATTTTCTCTAATCTAACATAAGAGAAAATGTGTTACTGGGGGTAACTGTAGAAAATTATTCCTTTCGTATGTATGCAAGTAAGTTTATTCAGGTATACACAAATACAGTTACATAGATTATCATACATAACAGAATATGTGTAGAGAACCTAGGATAACCCAAAAAAGTCAGACAGAGTGACTTATTTCCATTGCCTTCACTCAGAGTGTCATTTCTTCTCAAAATGATGTTACATGAGAATGGGAGTGTTCTTCTTTATTTATTCTACCGTATCAATGTAGAGACAACCTGTACACAATGTAACTTGTACACAAACCAGACGTGTACACTTTGTTTGTTTACAAAACTTACGTTCGCCGGGTTTGTTTACATAACTCTGCGCCTGTCCTCTCTCATGCACTCACTCTTTCTCTCTCATTTATTCGTTTTATCTCATTTACTTACTCCTGACCCTACATTAAGACTACAAATATTTTAAGGTAAGTAATGAGTGAACTGTATATACATTTTATTGCTCTGGGATGCTTAAATATCATAGAATATATGTGTGGGTGGGTTGGCCTGGTATGGTAGCCCGGTTGACTACCCACACTTGATTTTTTACAATAAATACTACTCATCTCACCCTAGATTAAGACTACAAATATTTTAAAGTAATGAGTAAACTGTATACGCATTTTATCGCTCCGGGATGCTTAAATGTAATAGAATATTATGTGTAGGTGAGGTGGCCTGTTATGGTAGCCCGGCTGACTACCATACATACCACACTTGATTTCTTACAATAAATACTACTTGTCTCACCCTAGATTAAGACTATAAATATTTTAAGGTAAGTAATGAGTGCACTATGTGTGTATTGTACTTTTTTGTTTTTTGATGCCTAGTTCTATTGCTAACTTAATATATGTTAGTGTAAACTTGTTATCTAGTATTTGTATGCATTTATAAGTGGAAAAAAGGGTGTTCCACTTTACGGCGATTTACGCTTTACGGTGGTAGCCTGGAACCTAACCTGCCGTATAAGTGGGGCCCTACTGTATTCCAATTTCAAAATAGGGTCCAGAATAAACAATGCAGGTATTCCTGGCACTAAAATAACTTTTCCTCTGTTTATTAGTTATGTTTCCAGGCTTTACAGATTAATTCCATTTTTATTTTTTATTCGCATCAAAAATAAAGAAGATTTACTGTTATGTAATATTGTAATAATTGTATAAATAATATCAGCACATTCGTGAATGTATATTAGATCCACCAGTTGACGTATATTGGACGCGTGACTTCATTTGTTTACTCTTGAATATCGGCAAAAATCGAACATATCTGCTACTTTGAGCTCAGTTTGAACCTATTTTTAATACTAAAACCAATTAAAATCATCTCTATTTCTGCAATATATCTTTCATTCTATCAAATGAGACCAAGAAATTGCAAATACAACCCTAAAAACCATACAAAAATGTACTGCAAAGTCGATGCTTTAATCCAAAAACATGGCCGCAGCTTTTATTTTCTCGTTACGAACTGCGTACTGCAGGATTTGTTTTATGTGGTGCACACTTGCCACATAGATGCATTCTCTCATACCTAGGCTCAAATTTACTGCTCACAGCTTATCTGAGTGAGATGAGCGCATGACGTAGTACTATGGCTCAGACCCAGGCTTCAAAGCCACAGAACTACAGAATGGACCCTCAAAGGGTTAAAGGAGGAAAGAAGTTTTGAGACTTGAAGAGAACACTGAAACAGTAAATCACTCAGCACAAATAAATACATACTTAACATATATCACAGGCAGAAGTACATCTGATAAATGCTAAAACATGATGTTAGGTTGTGGTGTCACCTATAGCAGCTACATATAAGAAAAAAAATATTTTATAAAATATTTCTTAAATCAGGTTTTCTACATACAGAAGCATTACATTTAAAGTATAAAAATAACAAGCAAATTGATTTTTTCAACTACAAAACAGGATGTAAAACAAATATCTCACCTATGACAAAGAAAGGAGTCACACGTGGACAGGCAGGCAGGCAGGCAGGCAAGTGGGCGGGCATCAGGCATGTAGGCAGCACATTAAATGCATTCTGCTCACAAGTCACATAACATAAAGCAGGTTCAGAACTGCTGTAACTTGGGGAACAGAGTTACAAATGTGTGGCATCAGCAGACGTCAGACACATGCAGCAGTGACAAGAAGAATGAACATCAATTTTATGAGAGCTCACAACACCATAAACCTCATTCAGTCCATATGAGGTAGGGTGTGATACATTTAAGGCTGAATAGCAGTTAGTTTATGAATAAGATCACAGGAAGCTTACTTGTGCAAAAGCACACAAACATGACTACACATTACAGTAATCTGTGAGAGCTACCACAAACAACTACATCAAGAAAAGAGCTCTGTCAGGTACTAAATATCTCTGTTATACTGATTGACAAACTGATGAAAATCAGCACCAGGATATTTTTATACACTGTTAATCTGGCTCAGTGACAATGACATTCAGTAAAAAGAAGTATACTGCAATATGCTGGCATCTCTCCAGTACACTAGAGGAGGATCTCACCGAGTTCTTCATCTCGTCTCGGTGTACCAGGGGTACTGAAAGCACCCCCAGCCCCCCCTAATCCACTACTGCTATGTGAATGAGCTGTTGACGCCTGTGTACTGTGGACCATACTGGCGCTGCTGATGCTGCTTCGGCCATCCAAACTGCAATCAACAAATGCTAATTCAGAAGACAGAATTTGAAAATAATCTCTAAAGTCAAACAGCAATCTTTACAAGCATACCATAACACACACAAAAAAATAAGTCTATGGAATATCATATGTTTTCTTCCTTTTAGAAAACAGGAAACCTATTTATATTTTTCTGAGTCTATTCAATCAGGTTTCAGCAGCATTCATTTGTAATTGCTGATACAAAGGATACACTTCACAGATTAAAGTTGAAACTTACAATTAATTAAGATAATATTTTGTCATAACTCAGTTGCTGGTGGCTATTTTTTGCCACAGCACTCGAGTTGGCTCCAGGAATCTGTTACCGAGTCTTGTAACAAACACCTAAAATTACTGTTAATAAAAGTTATATCTAGTACTGTATGCTATCAAATACATTATATTTTCAGCACTACAATAGAAGAGACATCTTCAATGAGCTACTTGGCACTCTTATCTTTGACTAGGCTCATTAACTACCACACTTTCATACTCTTACACAGGAAATTCTTTAGTTAACTTTCATACTCTTAACTTTGAGTGGGCATGCATGTGTGTTGTGGGGGGATGGGTGGTGTGTATGTGCTGTCAGTGCTCCCTTAACCTCTCCTCATAGGACACACCCCTTAGCTCCAGGACTAGTCTCACTGCAAACCTCTACACCTTCTCCAATTTTTTGATATCCCCAACTAGGTGTGGGTTCCATATTGGTGCTGTGTACTCCAATATAGGCCTGAAGTATATGGTGTACAGTGTCATGTACTTCTGTTATCCCATCCCCCTCTCTCTTACCTTACTTCAGTTACCTCGTTGTTGAACTCTACCTGGAGGGAATTCTGGGAATCAATGCCCCTATGGCCCAGTTCATGACCAAGTCTCCTGGTGGATCAGGGACTGATCAAGGAGACTGTTACTGCTGTCCATGTGTAGTCCAACATGCAAATCACAGCCCAGCTGATCCGGCACTAATTTTAAGTAACTGTCCAGTTCCCTCTTGAAGGCAGCCAGGGGTCTATTGGTAATTCCCCTTATGCCTGGTGGGAGGCTGTTAAACAGTGTTGGCCCCCAGACACTTGTTGTTTTCTCTTAGTGTACCAATGGTGCCCCTCCTTTTCACTGGGTGTATTTTGCACTGCCTGCCCATTCTTTTGCTTTTGTAGGGAGTGATTTCTGTGTGTAGATTAGGGACCATTTCTTCTAGGATTTTCCAAGTGCAGATTATGATATATCTCTCTCGCCTGTGTTCTAGAGAGTACAATTCAAATGCTTCCAAGCATTCCCAGTAGTTAAGGTGTTTGACGGAACTTATATGTGCAGTAAGGGTTCCTGTACATTCTCTAGATCTGCAATTTCATGTGTTTTGAATGGAGATGTTAATGTACAGCAGTATTCCATCCTAGAGAGAACAAGTGATTTAAAAAGGATCATCACTAGCTTGGCATCTCTTTGTTTTGTCTGTTATCATTATCCATCCTATCATTTTCTTCGCAGATGTGATAGTGGCACTGTTGTGGTCCTCAGACATTACCACTCCCAGGTCCTTCACACTAGTTTTCCACTCTATTATATGATTAAAATTTGTAGTATACTCAGTTTTAGTTACAGTGGAACCTTGGTACTCGAACAGCTCCATACTCAAACATTTTGGTACTCGAATACTTTGTTCGGTAAAAAAAATCGCTCAGTAGTCAACCGTTTGCTCGGCACTCGACCAAACAAACATGACCTGCCAGAACATGTGCATCAGTCTCCCCACAGCTGTCACTAAGTCCAAAATGCCGCTGAACTTCACTGTAAACTATTTTGTGTTTCTTTGCATTTCTTTTTTTTTTTTTTTGTATTATTTGTAGAAATAAGTCACCATGGGGCCTAAGAAGATTACTGATAACAGTCAAATAGAAAATTGGTTAATGTTTGCCCTGACGTAAACACTGTCTCCGCCCCTCCATATAATACAGTGAAATCTCGAGTTTCGGCCGCCCCAAGTTTCGGCTGTTTTAAGTTTTGAACAGTAACTTGAGTTTCGGCCGTCATACCAGACCTGTCAGCCTAAGCGCACCCACACAAAGCCTCCCTTGCATGCGCTGAGAGTCAGTCTGACTTTGCTTCTCGAGTGAACGTTACCCTGCATGTTCATCCAAACATTTCACAATAATCCATTGTTTTATTTTTGTTTGTTGATTGAGTGCAACTGCTACATAATTAACCATGGGCCCAAAGAAACTTTCTAGTGCCTGCCCTATGGTAAAGAAAGTGAGAAACACGATAGAATTGAAGAAAGATATTATTGAAAAATATGAAAGTGGTATGCATGTGCTGGAGCTTGCCAGGTTGTATGGCAAAAAACAAATCAACCATCAATTTCATCCTGGCGAAGAAAAAGGAAATCAAGGAAGCTGAAGTTGCGAAAGGGGTAGATAAACTAACGAAAAATAGATCACAGACAATAGAAGATGTTGAGAAGTTACTGTTGATGTGGAGCAATGATAAACAATCAGCAGGAGATAGATAGTGTTATGGAGATGATCATTTGTGAAAAGGCAAAGCAGTTGCACTCGGATCTCATAAAGAAAATGCCTGGAACGAGTGCTGCTGTTAGTGAATTTAAGGCCAGCAGAGGCTGGTTTGACAACTTCAAGAAGCGTAGTGGTTGCAAGGCATGATGAGGCTGCAAGTTGTGACAAATGTGCGGCTGAAAAATTCATGCATGAATTCAAGGACTATGTAGAGGCTCAAGGATTCGTTCCCCAACAAGTTTTCAATTGTGACGAAACATGCCTCTTTTGGAAGAAAATGCCAGAGGACCTACATCACGCAGGAGGAAAAGGCAAAGCCAGGACACAAGCCTATGAAAGACAGGCTAACTCCCTTGCTCTGTGGTAATGCTAGTGGGAATTTAAAAGTGAAGCCCTGACTGGTGTATCACTCTGAAAATCCCAGAGCATTCAAGAAAAACAAAGTTGTCAAGAGTATATTGTGTGTGTTGTGGAAAGCTAACAATAAGGCATGGGTCATGAGGCAAATTTTCATTGACTGGGTCCGTGAAGTGTTTGGCCTGAGTGTGAAAAAATACTTCACTGCCACTCAAGTGCCTCCTGGTACTGGACAATGCTCCTGCTTATCCTCCAAACTTGGTAGACCAATTGTCTAGGGATTTCAGTTTTATAACAGTGAAGTTCTTGCCTCCTAACACCACTCCTCTCATCCAGCCCATGGACCAGCAAGTCATTTCAAGCTTCAAAAAACTCTACATGACAGCACTGTTTCAAAGGTGCTTTGAAGTGACCTCGGACACTGAATTGACCCTAAGAGAGTTCTGGAGGAATCACTTCAATATCTACAATTGCATAAGCCCTGGCTTGGCAGAGAGTGACTTCCAGGACTTCAAACTCTGCTTGGAGAAAATTGTGGCCAGAATGTGTCCAAAAGAAGGATTTTGAAGGGTTTGAGGCTGACCTTGTAGACCCTACGCCTGTTGTGGAATGTATTATGGCATTGGGGAATTCCTTGGGGTTGGATGTGAGTGGCCAGGATATGTAAGAGTTGGTGGAGGACCATGGGGAAGAGCTAACCACTGATGAGCTGCAAGAGGTTCATCTGGGACAGCAACAGACCACAGCTAAGGAATTTGCTTCAGAGGAGGAAGAGGGAGGGAAGGAGGTGCCTTCTTCAGAGATTAAGGAGATTTGTGCAGTGTGGAGTATGGTGCAAGCTTTTGCTGAGAAATATCACCCTGAGCAAGCTGAAACAAGCTATCTCTGCAACATGTTCAGTGACAAAAGGATGTCCTATTTCAGACAAATGCTAAAGAGATGCCAGAAACAGACCTCTCTGGACAGTTTTTTTAAGCAACAGGGGTCCAGTGACTCTCAATCTGGACCCAGTGGCATTAAAAAACAAAGAAGGGAAGTAACCCTGGATAAGGATTTATTACCTAAAGTCTTTATGGAAGGGGATTCCCCTTCCAAACAATAATGAAGTCCTCCCTCTCTCCTCCCTGTCTTCCAAATGCCAAGAAGAGTGAAGAGTCTTCAGTAAAGGTATGTAAATGTGATTTTAAATGTTTATTAAAATATTTATTATGTATTTCATTAGTCATTTAACCCTTTGACTGTCGGGTCCTCAAATCCTGGAGTGTCTCTCTGTGTCGCAATTATAAAAAAAAAATTCTTATGAAATGATAGAGAATCTTTTCCCAATGGCAATGACACCGAAAGTATGAAATTTGATGGAAAATTTATGGAATTACGCTCTCGTGAAGTTAGCAATCTCAGCGATATATATGCATCAGCGATCTTGCCCACTTTGAGCCCTATTTTTGGCCAATTCTGTTGTTCTAGTCAACCAAACTCATAGATATTTCTTTAGAATTCTATTTGTTCTATTGATTCAGTACAAGAAACTACCCAATAAAGTGGTCAGAAATTGGCAATTTGGCCAATTTAACACAAATTAAAAAAGATGCCAGTTTCAAAATAGGGTCCAGAATAAACAATGCAGACATTCCTGGCACTAAAATAACATTTTCTCTGTTCATCAGTCATGTCTCCAGGCCCCTCTTATATTACTCTTGCTTTCTATTTTGAATTTTTATTCACACAAAAAATAGAAGATTTACTGTTATGCAGACTACTGCATTGCAATAATTGTATAAAGAATGTCAAGTTATTTGTGACTGCATATTAGAATGGCTAGTTGGACACTCACTGGATGGTGACATCATTTGTTTACTCTTGAACATTGGCAAAAATTGAACATTTCCGCTACTCTGAGCTCAATTTCAAGGTCCTTGTCATCGGGAAACCAATCAAAATCATCTCTATTTCTGTTGTATGTCTTCCATTCTATCAAATGAGACCAAGAAGACGAGAATACAACCATAAATATTATACGAAACTACACCTCAAAGTCAGCGCTTTAATCCAAAAACACGGAGTTTTTTTTTTCTTATGCACTGCGTGCTGCAGGATTTTTTTATACTGCACATACTGACCACGCAGACCCATTCTCTCACACGTGAGCCTACCAGCTTTCTCCCGCTTGATTTGAAGCCGC